GGGGTGCAGACATGAGCACGAGCTGCTTGTTAGTTTGATCCATGTCCTTTTGACACATTAGCAGAGCTACTGCAATTGATCAAAGTCTTTATGAGACGGCCAGTAATTGGAAAATTGATATGTACATGTGCGATTCATATCAAGGGCAGACTTTGTAGACTATCCCAATATAGGTAGGCTTGGTTTAGGCTCATTTGCTGAATGCCAGCAGCCTTGTAATGCCAAAAAAATGTAAAGACATTTGTTTCTGGATTAAAGTCATCATACTCTCCATCATGCTAAAACTTACCCTGAGTGGCATATGTCGTATCTCTTAAATGTATTTAAGATGACATTCCAAAGAGTGCCCCACAGACTTGTGGAGTAATTGCTATCGACTGAAATTCAAATGATATTAAAGTGCTTCTGAAACTGACCAGAGGAGCAATATCATATTTCAACCTTGATGATAGACAGGAGGGCTGCATAAAGTATCCCCATGGCCATCAAAGAAAATAGAGCTAGGAGGAAGTGTCAGAAAAGCCTGTGATAATGAAAGGGAAGGCAAGAGGCTATAGGACATGTAATGGAAAAAAAAATAAGTGAGAAGGGAAACAAACAGGAGCATAGAGAAGAGTGAAAGAAACATTGGGTTTCTATAAGAAACAAAAACAGACAGGGGAGAGACAAGACAGACATGGAAGGGGAAAATGAAAATGTCAGAGGACGATTCTGCCAGCAAACATCTTCACATGTCAAACTGAGCCTCGTTAATAATAGGATCTTTAAGATCAAGACGTGTTTTCTACATGCTGATTTCTACCTTACTGTTAACCTGTCAAAGTCATTTATATACCAGCTCTCAATGACACAGCTGACAGTATCATAACACCAGTTTTTTGATTTTGAAAGACAAAGTCAATTTTGACTGCTGGAATTTCTGTCTCCCCCTACTGGCAGTGACAGCAATCACATAAACACTGTCAAGGTTTCCCTGATATTTCAGACCTAGTCTTTGCTCCCAAGTTGCCGCACTACTAGTTCCTCAGCAACATCTGTAGTCTGCTAAGTCTCTGTCGCAATCATTGCTGATTAATTTAAAATGCATCAGTACTGGTGCACCAGCGTGGGAATATAGCCCCAGACAACAGACTCCGGTATAATGTAAAACACAAAGTGATTTACCTGAGGTTGATTGGCTTAATCAGTACTGTGTGAACTTGTTTGGCAAGAGCTTGAATAAAGGAGGTTCATTTATATGCTAAAGTTCTGCACCCCACTTTAAGGGATGAATTTATTCTCGTAAGTTTACATGATGTTCACACCTTTAAATGGAATTCTAGCGTGGCGGTGATGGCAATAATTATGAGTTATGTTGTGAGTTTTTGAATGTGTTCAGTACTGAATTTAATACATCCTGGAAGGCTTAGAGAGCTTCTGAAGGCTCCTTCCATCCCCAGTAGTCTGTGGGCACTTCAATCAAATTCAAAATGATTCAAGAATTCATACAGTTTAATACAAAACACTTCTTTTATTTTCCAGTTTATTGGAAACTTGCAAGAATTTCTAAAAGCTTTAGAAAAGTTTCTAGTATCTATTTTTTTCTTCTTTATCCTCAGTTCAGAATTATATGAGAATGACTACATGACTACCCATGACCTTTGCATGGGTTACTATCAGAGTGCATGGTGGAGGATGAGATGGGGCTATGATTTGTTGACATAGACTAAATGAAGGTTAAGAGAAGATGTCAGTTCAGTTCAGTTCTTTTTTATTTCAAACATATACATTCACCAACGTTTCATAAAATCATTCCATGCAGTTGTTTGAAAAGGAGTAGGCAGAAGTATATACTTATTTAGCCCTACCCCCTCAGGTTCAGGTTCCTCATCATCTAAATTTGAACAACAAAAACGTATACAACGCCTTCAACTTAGAACATAACATCACAAAAAAATATATATTTTCTCATGTTCAACTAAACTATATTTAGATTTGCTAATTTGCAGAACAAAATAAACATCAGTCTGACTGTTGTCTTGGGTTAATTGCATTTTCTTCATTCTTATACTTATTTAAAATTTCTTTTTTGAGTTTTATTTTAAACTGGTTTATATCACTACTGACCTTGATTTCTTCTTCTAACTCATTCCAGAATTTAACTCCCGCTATTGAAATAGACATCCTTTTCAATGTTGTTCTTACTCTTTGTAATTTTAAATTCCACTTCCCTCTAAAATGATACATCCCTTCTCTTTCTAAGAACCATTTACTTATTTCGATTGGGAGCAACACCCAATGTCAAACAGGAATTTGGTGCAAAGTGTTTACCTCAATTTAATTTATTTACCTAAATTTTAACAGTGAATCTCTGTCTAAGCATATAATTATCCTTGGTAAATCTTAATTCAGTATATTATTATACAGGCAGGATATTTTTTAGTGATAGTGTATATATACACAGGTCCCTGATAAGGATTGGATGAATGTATACATACAGTATCTATGATGGCAATATTATATTCTGGTTAGCTACGGCTAAATTCCACAGGCATTTAACAAACAGAGTGTTTTAGTGTTTGGTCTTAAGAACAATGACTGTGGAATGGTGTTCTCTTAGAACTGAAGAAGCTTCTCAGACGAGAGGTGAAATGTCTTCAAGAAACTTAAACAAGTCCAGACACTTTTCTTTCCAAGCTCCTTAGATTAGGATGACCTGGATGACTGAGAACCTTCACAGAAATAATTCATAAGGAACTTAACTAAATGTTAACACTGCACTGTTGGGGAAGACTGTACCACATTATTACGATGGCACTGTCAAAGTTTCAAAAATTCATAAAAAAACAACCCAAAAAAGTCACAGGTATTATTGAGTTGCATTGCAGCAGGAGTGGATATTTAATTTCCCCACATGTGTGGAAAAATTGAAATTTTCCCCATTTTTCCACACGTGTTGTGGAAGCCCCAACTTAACTGAACTCAGTTCTGTATTGCGGCCCACCACAGGCAGTCCCAGTTTCTTGTGTGGCCCTGTGGGAAAATTAACTGCCTACCCCTGCATTAAAGAGTGCAATTTGGTGTGGAGATAAGAGTGCAGTTAGGTGTGCAAAAAAATACAACGTCTAGCACAGGAGCATACTGCACAACTTCAGTCAGTAAAGACTTCAATACACAGTTGAGTTGGTGCAATATGCAAATGAGAATATTGCATGATAGAAAGTTAAGTCACTGGAGGAGGCAGGATGTGTATATTTCTGTATATGTGTGTGTTGTAGTGACGGTGTAGACAGGGTCCCTTGTTAACGGTTTGACAGCTCTGGGGAAGAAGCCATTTTTCAGGTCTGTGGTGTGTGCATGTGTCCTTTAGTTTCTAGTATTTTTAAAGAATTGGGAGTCGAGGTGGGTCTAGTCAGAGTTGATATTAGAGGTTTGCTCAGATGTTGAGTCCAGCAGCTTCTGCCTGTATATATTTGAGCACGTCTTATGGAAAATTGCCAGCAGAAGTGATAATGGAGGACATGTGTATCATTTCTACCATCGTTCCAAAAGCAGAGTCTGAAAACATTTACTGTTTACCAGTCAGACACACAATTATAGCGTGTGTCTGGCACTGAGAAGTATTGTGCTCTGGAAGTGTTTCTGCTACACAGACTGGTATAAAACTGAACAACAACACAGAAAAGAACAGTTATTATGAAATGACCACTAGACCACACATTTATTTATAAAATTGGAAAATTATAAGCACACAAAAAGCTTGAGAGTCTGACAAGGCCGCATCAAAACAGTATTTGTGAAATCCATTAAAACTGACCGCATGTACTTGGGATGCATTGGGAGGTGCAATGACAACATAGGTATCTGATCTACAGGATGAAAATGCATTTTATTCATTCCTGTGGGGATGTTGGGCAATTTCATTCAAACATGCACACTACCTTTGATTTTATGTTGCTCAAGCAGCAGACAGTAAATGGATTACAATT